TTGGGGCCCTAGTGGTAGGGGCATGCCTTGAAATTGACCAGGAGTTTGCTTATATATATATATATATATATATATATATATACACACACACACACACATATATATATATATATATATATATATATGTGCAGCCAACTCCCCAGAGGTTGGCAGACAGAAAGAGAAAGAAGCAGAAAGGAATAAAGGTGTAATAGGTAAAAAGAGAGAAGGAAAAAGAGAGGAGGTGAGGAATCTCCTCAAAGCTATAACACAGGTCAAGAGCTTTAATACTGAAGATAGTGAGAGACCTGGAAGGGGCCCTGTGACAGAGTTGGTGATGACAGCAGAAACTTGATGCTAGGAATGCAGCTAAGAGAGCTGAACAACACTACTATACTGGCTGTGAGCTGGGTCTGTTGCCAGTGGAAAGGCTGATGGCAGGGGGGCCAAAGGCAAAGAGGCAGGGGGCCAAGAGAAGGCCTGCCCTCGGGGCTGAAAGGAGGCCCACATGGCTGGGAGGGGGTGTGCACAGTGGAGAGAAGAGCCTGCTTGCTTTTGCTGCCAAGAGTTCAGAAACTGCCCTGTACTGAAGAAGGAAGGGAAGTATTCTGCATTTTAGGGGAGCCTTCCATACTTTGCCTACATGTTTCCTGATCCTGATCCTAAGTTGTATGCTATTGATCCCTTAATAAATCACTTAACTGTAAGTATAATCTGTGAGTTTTATATGGCTATTGCTACAAATTATTGAGTCCACCAGAGAAGAAGAAGAGTACCATGGGGAAAGCATCTGGTGTCAGAATTGATAAAACGATTGGAGAGTGGATGTATATAGGACCTTCACCTTATAGGGATCAGTTTGGGATAGTCTTGACTCACTTTATCCCCACTGAAGTAAGGTTCTAACACTACTATTAGATAATTACAGTTTATTAGCCATTTGTGTATCTTTTTTGGAGAAATGTCTATTCAGGTCCTTTGCCCATTTTTTAACTGAGTTACTATTTATTTTAATGTTGAGTTACATGAGTTCTTTATGGATTTTAAATACAAGTCCCATATAAGATATAAGAAATATCATCCCAAAGGTTTTTTTTTTTTTTTTTTTTTTAATGTTTATTGAGATTTGGGTGATAGTTTACAGAGCAAATTCATCTTCATACAGCAGTTCACATACACTTTATCTCACTACATTGTGATTTCCCACAATGCAACAATTCTCTTGCCACTTCCTCCCCATAGTTACCTGTTCCCTGTGTCCTTCCCTCACATGCACTCTTGCCCCCCTGAGCTGTCTTGCTGTGCATACGCAGCCCTTCTGTTCTCCTGTGATTGATCTCTCCAAGGAGTGTATCTGCCTAATATAAATACTCAGTTTATATTCCTGTCTTTTGTTTGACTGGAAGAGGAGTGAGTTCAGTTCCAGACCTGAAGGGCAGATAGGGTCCATAGTCTCAGGATTTCACCATGTTCTATCAGACCAGCAAACCTGTTTTTTTTTTTAAATGATTTTGAGTTTTGTTCCACATTGTTTTCTCACTCTACCCAGGATCTCCTACATAGATTCCTATAGATCCCCCTCTGAGTGGTTGACAGTGGTAGCTGGACATCATCTAGTTCTTCTGCTCTCATAGTCATATAGGCTAAGGATCCTATAGTCTACCAGTCCCTTGGACTAATTGTTTTCATGTATCTTGGTTTTCTTCATTCTTCTTTGCTGTGGACGTGGAGAGACCCATCATTGCATCTAGATGGCTATTGCAAGCTTTTAAGGTCCCAGTCACTACTCACCAAAGTAGGATGAGGAACAATGTTTTCATGTAGTATGTTACGCCAACTGAGATTGATGTCCCCTGTGACTATGGTCCCAAGCCCACAGGTCCAACTACTCACTTCTCTGGGTAGCTGGCTGTGGCCAAGAAGTGACTACAACCTTGTTCCCTGTCAGCTCTACTATAGACCTGGAAATTCTCACAGAACATACAGATACACTTGTGGAAACATTGTCTGCCAGTCCTGTACATGGTCATGGGTACACTCCCCACTGCATAGACATCCCTAATCGTTTAGCCTGTCCACCCATCTCAAAAAAAATAAACTCACTGTTGTTGAGTTGGATCCGACTCATAGTCACCCCTCCTTGGGTTTTTGAGGTGGTATCACTATGGAAGTAGATTGCCCAATCTTCCTTCTGAGGAGTGGCTGGTGAGTTTGAACTGCCAGCCTTCTGGTTAGCAGTCAAACAACACCTTAGGCACTATGCCACCAGAGCTCCTGTCCACCCATCTATCTACCCATATATCAGTGTTTGCCATCACTGAAAATGCAATATTGTATGTCCAGAAGCATTTATCTTTGTTCTCTGTACCTCCCATGCAACTCTGTATGTCTTCCTCTTCCTTAGTGCCACCGTGTTGATGACTCTCATTTGGTACATTGCCCTCCCTTCACCCAAATCAATACTTGTCTCTATCTATCTGTGTTTCCCCCCCCCCCCCCCCTTAACCAACAAAGAACGTTTCTTTCCATATATAAACATTTCCTTGACTTTTTACAATAATGGTCTAATATAATATTTGCCCTTCTGTGATTGACGTATTTCACTCAACATAATGTCCTCCAAGTTCATCCACATTATGCGGTATTTTGCATAGTCTACGCTATTCTTTAGGGTTGCATAGTATTCCATTGTGTTTTTGTACCATAGTTTGGTTACCCATGCTTCTGTTGATGGGCACCTAGGTTGTTTCCATTGTTTTGCTATGGTAAATAGTGCTACAGTGAACATGGGTGTGCATATATCTATTCTCGTCCCAGCTCTCAATTCTTTAGGATATATACCTAGTGATGTAATTAATGAGTCAAATGGTATTTCTAATTCCAACTTTTTAAGGAGTCACTATACTGGCTTCCACAATGGTTGTGTCATTTGTCAGTCCCTCCAGCAGTGTATGAGAGTCCCAGGCTCTCCACATCCTCGCCGGCATTTGTTATTTTCTGTCTTGTTGAACTTTGCTATTAGTGCTGGGGCAAGATGGTATCTCATTGTTGTTTTGATTTGCATCTCTCTAATGTCAAATGATCATGAACATTTCTTCATATATTTGTTGGCTGCCTAAATAATCCTCTTTGGTGAAGTGTCTATTGATATTTTCTGCCCATTTTTTAATTGGATTACTTGTCTTTTTGTTGATGAGGTATTGGAGTTTTCTATAAATTTAGAGATAAGTCCCTTGTCAGATATGTCACTGCCAAATATTTCCCAATCTGTAGGTTCTCTGTTTATTCTTTTGAGCAAGTCTTTGGCATTACATAAAAATTTAATTTTCAGAAAGTCCCGTTCATCTAGTTTATCTTCTGCTGTTTGTGCATTTTAGGTTATGGTTGATAGTCTGTTTTTTTGCCATATATTGTTGTTGTTATGTGCCGTTGAATTGGACCCGACTCACAGCGACCCCTCCTTGGGTTTCTGAGGCGGAATCACTACGGAAGAAGGCCTCTAAATTTGCCCGTATTTTTTCCTTGAGGAACTTTATAGTATTAGGTTTCACATTAAGTTTTTGATCTATTTGGAGTTAGTTTTTGTGTATGGGGTAAGGTACAGATCTTGTTTCATTTTTCTGCAAATGGATATCCAGTTTTGCCAGCACCATTTGTTAAACAGTCTTTTCCCCTTTTAATGAAATTCAGCCCTTTGTCAAAGATCAGCTGACCATAGGTCGATGAATCTATTTCTGACATCCTAAAGGTTTTTAATGCCTTCATTACGTGGATGTAATTGTAATAAGCATTCTGATTACCTACTCTGGGTCAGTCCCTGTAGTGACAGCTTTATGGATTCTTTTGATCCTCGTCATAACCCAGAAGCATAGATAATATCCTCAGTTTACAAACCAAGGTCCAAAGAAGTTAAGCAAGCGGCCCAAGGTTAAACAATTAGTAATTACTGCTTAAGGTCCGAGTCTAACTTGGGATTGACTATACACCCAGCCAAGCCTCCCCTCTGCACTGGGACTGGTATTAACACAAAGCTGCAATTCCTGTACTGGAGTTTGGAGCTTATTTGTCTTATTGGCATATGTGTGTGCATGTACTCATGTTCATATTGTGCCCTCTCTCCAAAGATCAGCTTTGTGTTTTAGTTCTATGGCCATATTTCACTATGAATTCCTCGTTATGTGTACTGCAGAATCTGTGTCATGTTTTTCCTTTGGCTATTACATGTTTATAATGTAGGTAGACAAGTTAGAGAAGCATCTTTCATGGAGAGTCCTTAGCTTACTAGAAACAAGCTTGAAAATTAGAAAACTCTGGTAGTAGTAGCTACAGAGAATTGTTTTGGCTTTTATGTGAGAATAAATTGCTAAGCAGCTAAAGCTATCCCTCAGTAAGAGTGTAACTGGCTGCTTGGTGAAAAACTTCCCAGAACTGAATATATTCCAGCAGCAGTGAGTGTCTTCAGGATGTTGTAAATGTATTGCCATATGGGGTAAGGGAATCCTGAAGCCCCTTCAGTATGGAAAAAGGGTTTGTCACCTACCAGAGCTGACAGATACACAGCTATAGCAGGTTGCTATCTCCTGCCCTCTCTAGAAGATTGAGTTCTGGTTTCAGGCTTTGTGTTATTTTTAAATCTGAATAAACATGAAATTAATACGATAAAGCTGTCTTTACATGTTCACATTTTAGCCTACTTTGAAAATCATATTGCCAACTTCTTTATTCTGGTTTTCATGCATGGAGAAAAGTACAGGGCAGCCAGATCTGTATTTGCATCTCAGTTCTGTGGTTTTCTTGCTGTATGACCTTGGGCAAGTCTGTTTTACCTGTGTATACCTCAGTCCCGTCATCTGAAAAACTGGCATAACAAGAATACCTCCTTTAAACAGCTGTTAAGATTCCCTAATGCTTATTGGCACATAATAAGTGCTCATTAAACTTGTATTGTAGGGAGGGAGGATTAAGGAAGTAAATGGTTGTTATAATTGAACTTGATCCTTTTTTTTTCCCCCTAATCTTAGAGGAAACACAAGAATAGAAGAGGCTTGTGAAATGTATACCAGAGCTGCAAATATGTTCAAGATGGCTAAAAATTGGAGTGGTATGTATAAAGTTTTTGTTTGTTTTTTTAGACAAATAACTCTAAAGTCATTCAAAGGAGGAAATGACTGTTCATTCCCCAAAGAGAATAAGACTATACTGGGCCCATAGACAGGTGTCAGTGCTTCTGACCTTCAAGGACCTACCTGATCTCCTGATTCCCTTCCCGTCTATGACTTCTCCCTCCTGGTTCCTTCATTCATTCTGCTCCCACCTCAGAGCCTTTGCATGTGCTGTTCCCACTGCCAGCCTTCTGGTTAGTAGCTGTGTATGCCTTAGGCACTGTACCGCCAGAACTCCTACTTATCTGAAACACCGTTCTCCTGAAAAGATGTATGACTGGTTCCCTCATTTCCTTCAGTCCTTCATGAACTGTCATCCTCTTATCAAGGTCTTCTCTGACCACCCTTTCTGAAAATAGTAACCATCTTCTGCCTAGAAACCTCAGTGCCCTTATCACCATCCAGCAAAATTCAATAAAATACATAGTGTGGTTTGTTTATATATATATATATAATTTATTTATCCTTATTTATGTGCTTTTATTATTATCTGATATTCTTCGTTAGAATGTAAATATTTGAAGGCCAGGATATTTGTGGGTTTATTGCTACTGTATCTCCAGGGCATGGGCTAGCCTGCCACATAATAGGTACTCAGAATATTTGTTAAAAGAATGAATGGATGAATCTTAGACTTTCTGATGAAATTATCTCTAATGTGGTAATGGTGGTGATCATAACACTACTTCTTTGCTTTATAGTTCTAAAAGTTCTTTTATAAAGATAAATTAATTTGATATTCAGCTTATGAGAGATCATCTGGACAAGTATAACTCTGATTTTACAGATGAGGAAATATTGCTTGAGAAGTTAACATGACTTCCCAGAGTTTAGTGACTGCTTCCTTAAACATACTTCCAAGTTTGGAGAGACCAAACTATCTCATGTTAGCAGTGATTGGAATGAGAGTTCATAATTATAGGGAAATAGAGGTAGACTGAAAGAGTCTGGTTGTGGTGTTATTACAGAAAGAATAGACCTAGGATGGTCAACATAAATAAACTATCCAAAATGAAATGCTGACAGAAGGAAGGGTGTAGGTTGTAATTTATGTAAATTTTGAAACATGCCAAACCACAGGTATGATTTTAGGGTGGATTAGCTAATAATAATAATGGGCAACCCATGTATAATGTGAGCCAGGCCCTGTTCTAAGTCTTTGTTAGGTCCAAGTTGTTATTACACTCTCCTAAGGCAGAACCCATCAAAGCTTCTGTTCAGCCGGTACATTTCCTAAACTGCCACTTAGTAATTAGCTGCTGTCTCAAGTACTCCAGGTTCCCACCTACTACCCTGGCAGTGTCCCTAGCCCATCCTTTGGGAGCTCCAGACTCTCCATGATTCACCAACAAAGGGTTAAGGCCTCACCAGTAGGGGTTTTCCAGTCTTAGCAGTATGACAAGCATCAATTCTGATTGGTTAGTATCTGTACCTCACTGATAGTTAAATATTTTGAAAACAGCCTAGATACTCTTGTTATTGAAAACCAAGGCAAAGAATAGGTGTATAACTTACTTAGGGTTACACAGCAGGTAAGTAGTAGAGCCAAGAATTGAAACCAGGGAGACTTGCTCCAAAGGTTGTACTGCCTCTAACCTTGAATGAAACTTCAAAAAACCAGGTGGGAATTAATGTGATTACCTCTGGAGAGGAGGTTGGGACAAGAGATGGCAGCTGAAGTTTTAGCTGAATTGGATGTATTATTTCTTAAGAAGAAATTTAGAGCAAATGTTTAATACCAAGAGTGGAGACCTAGGCATTTATTACTGTTTTCTATACTTTTCTGAATGTTTTTGAAATGTTTTATGATTAAAATTTTTTTTTAAAGGTAAATGTTAAACAATGTGATTACGTTCTTCATTGTGCTTTTCCTACTGGAGCAGGTTCTTTCCCTCTCTATTAATACTATTCCAAGCCTTATGAAGCTAGTGTCACCACAGACCTTTGTGTATACCAGTCCTTCTTGAACTGCACTCGTTTCTCTGAGGCTTTCTGCCACATTGCTTTTCCTAAACTTGGAACCTCATGATGAAGTGAATTAATCCCAGTTCAGGTTCCTCACATTGACACTTAAAACCCTCTTTTAGGGCAAAGTTATGAACACTTTTTAGCAGTAACAAAAAACTTTGAGGAAATGAATAACTGGGCATGGGGGCTCAGGACCATAGTCTTGGACATTGAAGTCAATTGGCACAAATCAGTACACAAAAAAAGTGTTCTATATCCTACTTTGGTGAGTAGTGACTGGAGTCTTAAAAGCTTATGAGTGGCCATCTAAGGTTCAACTATTGGTCTTGCTCCAGCTGGAGCAAGGAAGCATGAAGAAAATCAAAGACACATGGAAACAATTAGTCCAAAGGACTAATGGACCATGCAAACCACAGCTTCAGCTACTTTGAGACCAGAACTAGATGGTGCCTGGCTACCACTACCAAACACTCTGAAAAGGATCTTGGATATAAACCAAATAAACCAAACCTACCACCATCAAGTTGATTCCAACTCATAGCAACCCTGTAGGACAGAGTTGAACTGCCCATAGGATTTCCAAGGCTGTATATCTTTACAAAAGCAGACTGCCTCATCTTTCTCCTGTGGAGCATCTGGTGGGTTCAGATTGCCAGCCTTTTGGTTAGCAGCTGATTGCTTTCACATTTGTACCCCCAGAGCTCCTTTCCTGGATATGTATAAAAACTAAACCAAATTCACTGCCATCGAGTCGTTTGTGACTCATAGTGACCCCTTCTTGGGCTTCCGAGGCAGTATCTCTACAGAAGTAGATTGCTTAACCTTCCTTACGAGGAGTGGCTGGTGGGTTTGAACCGCCAGCCTTCTGGTTAGCAGTCAAATGCATTAGGCGCTACGCCACCAAAGTTCCCTGGATATATATAGTAGGGGAAAGATGTGGAACAAAACTGAAAACCATAAAAAAAGACCAGGCTTACTGGTCAAATAGAGACTAGCGGAATCCCTGAGACTATGGCCCTTAGTCATCCTTCAGGCCTAAAACTGAACTCACCCCTGTAGCTCAGTTTTCAGCCAAACAGTAGGTCCACAAAGTGAATAATAACTGTAGGGAGGTACATACTCCTTAGAACAATCAACCATTTGAGATTAAAAGGGCAATATTTGCCCAAGGATAAAGTCCAGAATGCAGGAATGGTTAGGAGGAAAAGTGGAATGGCAGTTAAAAACACCGGGAGGAAGTGAGATGAGTGATATTACATTGAGGGGATTGCAATTAATGCCATGAGAGATGTGCATGAATTGTTGAATTAAAAACTCATTTGCTCTCTAAACTTTCACCCAAATCACAATTAAAAAATTAAAAAAAAAAAAAAAGAATTGGTAGATAGATAACCCCACTCCTTTACCCCCTGGGGTCATTACTGAAGTTTCCTACATAGTGATTAAGAGGGTCTCCAGTGAGATAAGCAGTGTTGGTCGTTAACACACCCTTTTTTTTGGTTTTCTTAATCCCTCTCTACCTTTCCCTCCTTGGTGCAAATTATTTTTGGTATACTTCCTCCTTTGTGTTTCTTGAGATCTATCCTAAATAAATTACCTGAACCTCACCCTCCCAAAAAATAAATACAATCCTCCTGGAAGTGACTTGATTGCTACTACCCCAGCCCATTCATGCAGACATACAGGCTTATTGCTGTCCTTTCTTCCCTTCAAGCATTTTGTTCTCTGTTTGTGTGATTCCTCTGCTGGGGATCCCTTTCCACATTCTTTTCTGCCACTCCAGAATCCCCAGTCCTTGATCTAGAATTTTGCCTGCAGAAGTTTAGTGCTTGTACATAGCACATCCCAGAGGAATCCTGAGCAGTACCCATAACCAAACCAGTCAGTGATTCTATAAAGAAAGGTGCAAATTTCCATATTAATTAGGATAAAGACACATTAAACTTAATATAAATTTTGGTCAAGTTTTGCTATAAACTTAAACTGGATTTTCAAACCTTTTTTGGGTTTTAAAATTGTAAACCTTATTTTCATTCTTTGAGAAACTTACTTTCTTCATGAAGCCTTCATTCACAGTTTCTTCAATGACTTACGAATACATTCTGGCTATGTAAAGTACTATCTCTATGGTACTTAAAGCTATTTCTTCCCTTCAACAATGACGGAGAAGTCCAGTTGGCAACGTAAGATAGAAAGACAAGAAGCAACATCCTTGACCTCTGTCTTTCACCTTTCTTTAGTCATTTCTGGCATGAAGTCCTTAGTTTGCCATTATTTGCTATGTGGAATGGAATTGAGCAGTCCAAGACTTTGCTATTGGTGTTGAATGGCCAGGCCAAAAAATGGAGGCTCACGGACACTTGGAAGGTCTGCTGGGACAGACGTGGGGGTGCTTTCATCACTGTTTTACTTGATTCTGATTATTTTTATATATACCTAAGATATACTCACTCAAATTTTTCTGTGCATTTGATTGGGATGTTAATTTTTTTTCAGTGAAATAAAATTTTTATAGGGATAGGTCCACTTAACATGAGCTGTTCTATGGTGATACTTATTCCTCTATGTCTAATTGTACTATCATCTTATTTAGCTGCCGGAAATGCATTTTGTCAAGCAGCCAAGCTTCATATGCAGCTTCAGAGCAAACATGATTCTGCTACCAGTTTTGTGGATGCTGGGAATGCTTATAAAAAGGCAGACCCACAAGGTAAGACATGGCTGTGTAAGTTGTGCATCATCTCTCTTTGCATTTGTTAGGTGTATGGTAAAAGTAGATGCTGAGGTCTTTTTTCACGAGTTATGCAGCTAGACTTTTTAAGTCCCTGTGAAAAGGAATATCTGTACTTTGGAATAGTCAGGAGATTTTGGTAACTTAAGGAATATTTTTCTTCTTTAATTATTTGGGACTTTAGTAATAGGGAGAGAGTGTTAACATTTATTCTGGCTGTTGAGCTGTCAACACGATTTTCTTAATCTATTTATGTTGCATTTTGGAAATTAGTTTTGTTTTGTCTAAGATTTGTTCTGTCTTAATTTAATGAAATGATATATTTTGGTCATAAACAGTAATATTCCCTTGTTAAATATCTTGTGAGTTTTAAGATCTAGTTAATGGGAGATTGTAATATTATAAATGTCTCTTGTTCACTCAGTATTCATCTGCTTTTAAAAAAGTATTTTTCAAAGTATTTACTTAGAACAAAGACTGAAGTTGGATATTTTAAGTGGTAGAAATTTACAAGTGTTATTTCTTTTTAGTTAGCAATTGAAAATGTCTTCCCTCACCACACATGTGCACTTAGCAGTCCATTTTATTGAGCACAGAAATCCCTACTTTTATGAATTTATCATAAGGTACTTTCAAGGATTTTTGTATAAAGACTAATTATAGTTTATTTCCAAAAGTGAAAACCAGGTGTCAGCCAAAATGAGAAATAAGAGTAGGATAGTAATAGTAGAAGGCATCAATCAGTACTTTAGAATGCGATACTGGCATTGGAACCCCTGGTTTTGAGTCATCAGTGGGATGATAAATGTTCACAGGGTAACTATTGAGAGAGCCACGTGAGGTTGAATGTACAGTCTCAATTCTAGAAAAAGGCACAAAAAGAATCACATCTGCAAAACGCTGGAAGGAGGGTACAACAAAATACTAAAAATGGATTTGAGTAGGGTTATAGATAACTTATTTTTCTCTTTATGTTTTTCTGTGTATTTAAAGGTATACTAATGAGTCCACATTTCTTATGTAATTTACAGGAAAATAACTTCTAAAATTCATTCTAATGTTAATCTAATTTAATCGTATTTACCTAATTCTTCAGTCAGGGGTTTGCACTTTGTACTTCTTTTAAACTAAAAGCAATAAACTTAGAGGTGTTAACCATCTGCCAGGGAAATAAACTGTACCATTTTATGGCAGGGAAAATTTGTCAAGTTCATTTTATTAAAAAATTAATATAATTGATTAGCATTATCATTTATTGGAGTATTTTTTCCTTTTGTGGATATATTTACACCAAAAGTTAACATCTTTGTAGATTGTACAAAATGTTGACTTAAGAATTGTCTGAACAGGGATTTCAAAGTGCTTTTGATTTTGGCTGCATGAAGAATAGAATCCATTTGTATCGTTCTTGTGAAGTGATACTTTTGTCCAAAAATAAGTTACATGGTATTAATGAAAAATGCACTTACATTTAAGTTTTAGCAGACATAATTTATCAGTGTCATTGACAACCCACATACTTTCATCTTTTTCATTGTTGTGTTGTTGTTATGTGCCGTTGAGTCAGACCCGACTCATAGCAACCCCTCCTTGGGTTTCCAAGGCATTATCACTACTGAAGTAGATTGCCCAACATTCCTTCCAAGGAGTGGCTGGTGGGTTTGAACCGGCAGCCTTCTGGTTAGCAGTCAAGTGCCTTAGGCACTACGCTACCAGAGCTCATCTTTTTCATAATACAGTCTTTTTACCTGAATGGGGTCCTCACTTCATGGTTAAGATAACTGAGCCAATATTTGCTGTAACAACAATTTCCTAAATTATACTGTAGCCCCTGTGAACAAAGCCATGCTGATGAGTCTGGGCTTCTGCATGATTTGTATCTGCTTTTCACTAAGTAACCTACCCAACTCCACCCCAAAACTGTACCTCATTAAAGTTCTAACAGCCAAGAAGACAGTTTTGCCTGAACCCTCTTTGACTGAATGGATTTTTCATTGTTTTCCTTAAATGCCTACGCTGCAGAGGCTATCAACTGCTTAAATGCAGCCATCGACATTTACACAGACATGGTAAGATACTGCATTGCTTGAATGGCTGTGGGGTGGAGTCCTTGACATGGCTTAGAGTTTTGCTCTTTTTTCATTTGTTCCCAAGCTGATGGGCACTTAAATAAGTTAAAAGAAAAGAAAAAGAACATGGGACTCTCTCTTTTATTTTCCCTAGGGAAGGTTTACAATTGCGGCCAAACACCACATTACTATTGCTGAGATCTATGAGACTGAACTTGTAGACATTGAGAAGGTAAGAAATCAACAGGATTCCTTATAAACTTGATGCAAAACTGACAGATAAATTGATTCAGAAGCTCTCCTCTTTAAACAGAGTTGGGTGGAGCAGGGTGATCATAAATGACTTTACAAGGAGGACTTGAGGGGGGGCCTGTCAGTATTGACCATTGTTGTTGTTGTTATGTGCTGTTGAGTCAGACCCGATTCATAGGGAGGACCCCTCCTTGGGTTTCCGAGGAGGTATCACTATGCAAGTAGATTGCCCAGCCTTCCTTCCAAGGAGTGGGTGGTGAGTTTGAACCGCCAGCCTTCTGGTTAGCAGTCAAGTGCATGCTATTTTCCTGGAGTAAGGGCCTAAGGCAAGAGTTGGTTAAAATTTACCAAACCCAACCAGTAGTTTCTACATTTATCTGCTTCATGTCCAAACCTTCATACTACCAAAAAACCTTCAACTGTACTTAAGGATTTTGAGGTTCTGAGAAGGAAGCTTAAGTACTGTGGGCATTTTTATGCCTTTTAATTCTAATTTTATGCCTTTAGGCTCTGACCATGGGGTTGAAGGTAGGTAAATGCCAACTTGGCCATCTATGTGTTTCACGTGGATTGTTTTTCTGAGCTGTGGTGTATAGTGATAGAAGAAGAAAGGACACAGGTAACATTTAGTGAGCATCTGTTGTCTCACAGACTTTGTATTTGGTGGCATTCCATGAATTTTAGCATATTTCAGCTCTGTCCAAAGCTGGCCCCACTGCTTGATCTTTCTCCTTTTTACACTGCCTTCTTAGACACAGGATCATCAACTCGGAAGGAGTCTACCTCAGTGAAAGTAAATCCCACTTAGACCACAGAGTCTGTTTCAATGAGATTTGAGACCGATGTTTGTATAAAGCTGTCCTCTTGAGTCCTGTGGATGACAGGAGGTTTGAATCAGAAAAATAAAGATAATGTGGAGGAGATCATGAGTGATTTTTGTCAGAGTAAGGAATGCTAAGCATGCTCACTAGAGATTAGAATTCCATCCTATCTGAATGGATCCTATCTTCAGTTGCTCACTCCTTCCTCTTGGTTTTGCTCTCTTATCTTGACCTCTAGGGCCCCATACCCACTTGGTTTTACTGCTACCTCAGTGACCACTCACCCAGACTCCTTTGCTGGTTTTTGTTGTTCTCCCTACCCTCTAGCATGGAGTGTCTTGGGCTTAGGTCCTTAATCCTCATCTCTTATTTAACACTCAAACTCTTAGTGACCTTTCTAGCCTTAGTCAGCATCATAGCTTTAAATATCTTCTATATGCCACTTGCATGCAAATCTAGCTGTGGCCCATACCTGTCTCCAGACTGCAGGTATCTCTGTCCACCTGCTGCCAACCTCTCCATGTGTGTGTAACAGTCATCTAAAACCCAATATGTCTACACTGAATTCTGATCTCACCTCCCACCAAGTGTTCCTTTACAAAGCAGAGGCATCCCTGCCTTCTCTCTCTCTCTCTAATCCAAAGCTCCCAAATCTCAGCACTTGCCACTACCTCATTGTCTCCCCAACTTGCACTTGATCACTAGGGTAGCCTCTAATTAGTCTCACTGTTTTTAAGCTACTGCCCACAAAAAAAAAAACACAGATGCAACAGAGCAATCTGGAGTGATCATTGTAAGAAGTAAATCATACTCTGTTTCTCCTTTGCTTACAGCCTTGCGTTGGCTCCACACTTCATTCAGAGGAATAACCAGAGCCTTGCAGATGACCATCAAGGGTCTACTGGTTTAATTACCAGCACTCGAGACCTCTCTCTTTTACTCTTTTCCCTATCATACCCTACTCCGGCCACCTTGACCTCTGCTGTTCCTTACATGTGCCAGATAAGCTCCTGCCTCAGGACCTTTGCACCAGCTCTTCCATCTGCCTGCAAAGCTCTTCCACATGTCCATGTGGCTGACTTCTTACGTTCTTCAAGTCTGCTTAGCTAACTTCTCCATATCCTTCAAGTTTCTGCTCTGTTAACACATGTTCTATGAGGCCTACCATGACTCCTTAGTTAAAATGACAAAAAATAAAAATTATTAAAATTATAACCCCACCCCTCTCAGGAACCTCCCTCAGCTTTTTCTTTTCTTTTCCCTCAGAGCACATGTCCCCTTACATCATGTGCTGGGCTTGCTCATCAGCCCTGTTGTTCATTGTTTTTCCCTCCACTAGATTGGGTGCCTGTGACAGCAGGAAGCTTTCTGGGTTACTGATGTATCCCAGGATCCCAGAACTCTGAGACATAGGACTCTTAGTATCAATAAATATTTGTTGAATAAATATATGGTGCCCTTGACTCTTCCATAGCAGTGTGCCCCCAGAGCCTTTCAGTCTTGATTCAGGGGAATGTCTGTTAGTTAGTCAGTATTAAAGTCAGGCTCACCATAACATTTTGGTTATATAGCTCAAAATTCACTTAGACTTATTACACAGAATTTATTATTTGGCTATTGTTCTATAATTGTCCTGCTTTTCTGAGGATGCCTTCTTGTTCATCTTCTTGATTTCATTAATGATACTGAGTACATTGACAGCATTTGTGTAAGCCTTATCTTTGCAGAGTTTATCACTGTAGATCCTGGTAGAAATTGATGGAGCCCCAGAACCTGAGCTTTTCTTTGTTTCCTGGTATAGCATTGATGATGTTACAAGAAGGAGAGGGTCTGGCATGGCTGGAATATTGATTTGGTCAGAATATCTGGGATAGACATAGTATCTTTATTTAGATTGAATGAGTCTTGGGAGGTGGAAAACCCCTGTGACCAGACCATCTTTGCCTGCTTTTGCTCCCTGAATTAGCTTCCTTTTCTACTGTGTGGTTAGCGGAGTGCTTCTAGGAGTCAGGAACCTGGACTCCTTTGCCATTTCTGCTACTGGGGATGATCTCAGCGTGCCAAATCACCACTGGGCCTCTATAAAATTGAAAGGTGGATAAAATTATCTATGACATACTCTTTTTTTCCTTCTGTTTTAAAAAGTTGATTTGATATTGTACATTCTAAATTTACCTCATGGTGTCCCTGCCATTCTGAGAATTGGCCAGTAGGTGACATCTTCTTTCATTGATGTTGATTACTCCTTTAAAAATATTTTTAAAGAAAGATATTATTGAACATATACATACACAGGATTATATTATGTCTCTGATGTTTTGGCTCCTATGTTGTTTAGAAACATTTTCTTCTCTTCCCTGGTTGGAATGGCTGGTTTCTGGTCAATTGTTTGTGAAGTTTAAATTTGATAAATTAGTTATCAAGGTATACTATATCTGGTTTGTTACCCCAAAAAAAAAATTATTTTTAATACTTTTAATACTATCCAATGTCAGTTCTCTGATTCATTTATAGATTTTTGGCTAGTGGGACAGTGAGGTGTGATATTTCATAAATTGAGAGATTGCTTCATTTACTTCATGAAGTAAACCCTGGAACCAAGTAATAAATGTGTTCTAAACTTTAGATGGTCTTTTAAATGGTCCAGAGGAACTATGACTCATTACTGTTTTCAGTCACTGAAGAATATGATTTAATACTGTTCGTTTCAAAACAGGGTAGGTATATATGACAGGTTCCTGTTAGACCCAGTCCAGAGGCATTTAATCTGACAGAACTGATTCCATTATAAGGCTGTTTCACCTACAAAGCAGACTCTTAAGAGTGAACCCTGAAAACTTGCATTTTCCCTAAGGTACTGATAATGAATGCAGTGCTAGATGCTTGTGTCTTTTTTTTTTTTTTTTTGAGAATTCTGTGTATTTTCTAGTATTGTGACTCATCTCCAGGTTTCCCAAGAAGTAATATTATCACCCCTTTGTCACTTTACTTACGTGACAGATAATGAGCTGGTTTTAGTGTTGAAATTTATTATGTATGCAGTTATAATTGGTGACTAGATATTATAGTACTTGTAATGATAAGATAAAGTGGGCCAATTTCTAGTGTAAGGTTTCTGCTGTGTCTAATAAACTTCATTACATGTTAAAATCTAAACTAAATACCAACATCCAAAGATACCCATGGTCAGTCTCTTTTCTCTAAACTTATTTTGTTAAACCAGAGGATATGCTTTCCTTTTCATTACAATTTCTGTCAAAATCTGGGAAAACCATGAAATATGGTCACTGATTTCTTATCATTGCATGTTGGTGGCACGTTAGTTGGCAATTTAAACCCACCAGTCATTGATGATAGAAAAATATGGCAGTTGGCTTCTGTAAGGACTTAAACCATTTTGGAAATGTTATTGGGCACTTCTGTCTTACAGGATTGCTGAGTTGAAATTGACTTGATGACAATGGATATTTAAAACTGAACTTGAAATTTTTCTTTTATTATGATAAATCTAGCTGTAGTTTATAGTTATAAAATTTTGATGAACCAGAACTATTATTTAATAAATGTTAGATTCCAAACCCATTGCCACTGAGTCTATTCTAATTTATATTGACCTTGTAGGAAAGAGTAGAACTGACCCAGAGAGTTTCCAAGGCTGTAATCTTTAGAGAAACATACTGCTATATCTTTTTTCTGTGCAGTGGTGGATTCCAACTGTCAGCCTTTTGATTAGCAACCAAATGCTTAACTACTGTGCTAACTTCTTTTTGTTAGGTGCCATTGAGTTGGCTCCGATGCATAGCGACCTTGTGTATGACAGAATGAAACACTGTCTGGTCCTGTGCCAGCTTTACAATCCTTGCTACACCTGAACCCATCGTTGCAGCCACTGTGTCAATCTGTTTTATCGAGGGTCTTCCCCTTTGTCATTGACCTTTCTCCACTTTACCAAGCATGATATCCTTCTCCAGGGAACAATCCCTTTTGACAGCATGACCAAAGTAGGTGAGATGAAGTCTGGTCATTCTTGTTTCCAAGGAGCATGCCGGCTGCACTTCTTCCAGGACAGATTTGTTCATTCTTTTGGCAGTCCATGGTATTTCAGTATTCTTTGCCAACACCACAACTCGAAGATGAAGATTGAAGACTACAGTCTGCA